GGGGAGAACGGAATCAGGGGTTCTGCAGTGGAAAACTGAGGTGAGGCGTGAGCCCTTGAAAGTAACCCCGGATCCCACGCAGCCCACATGTGGAAGGTAGGAGACGCCGACGGCAGGGGACTGATTACAGAATATATGACTATATTCCAAAGGGCATCCTCACCAAGGGAGAGGAGGCTGCTTCCACAGATGAGCAAGCCCAAGACTTCTGAAAACCCGAGGAATCAGCAAAAAAGCCTCCTTCCAAAATTATAATCCCCCATCCAAGAACTCACACAGGGAAGGAAAGAAACTCCAGAGAAAGAGTTTTAAATATTGATTATTAAAATGATTAATGAACTAAAAAAAGTCTCAAGGACAAATCAAGAGAGCAAGGACCACTTCAGTAGGATTGTGGAGAGGAACTGCTCAGAACCCTGAACACAAAAGACACGGCGAACCAAATGGAAAGTGACCTGAAAATGTCACCAATAGACAAGGAAGAAAACAGGGCTTGTGGCCCCGGAGACCGGGAGAAAGTAAAGAAAAAAACGATCATGATCAGAATGTGCAAGAACTTTGGGACAACATTAGGAGAAAAAAGGTAAAAATCACTGGGATGAAACATGGCAAAAAAAATTACAGGCTAATGACCTTGAGAAACCTTTCAGTGAAATAGTAGAAAGATTTTCCAACCTGAAGAATGAGAAGGACAGCCACCTGCAGGATGGGTGTGGAGCCCTAAATAGACAAGACTGAAAAAGAGAACCTTTCCAAGACACATTACGATCAACTGCCTAACAGAGAATAAGGATACTGGGGTCTCTTGTAAGGAAACATCAGGTCACACTTAAAAGTCGATCAGTGAGACTCACTGCAGACTCCTCAGCTCAGGACCTGAAACCCTGGTGGACGTGGAATGAGAAGATCCAAGCTCTGAAGGAAAGTGATTGCCAGTCAGCATTGCCATGTCCAGCAAAACCATCCCTCAGAATCAGGAGAAATGGAAACTGCCCACGATAAGGATGAACTCAGAGAATCCATGACCACTAAACCAGCACTGCAGAAAATATCTCAAGAAATGCTACACAAAGAGGAATTCAAATACAAACCCCAGTGTTCTCAAATGGATGAAGCTCCCCAGAAGAGCAATTAAACAAATGAGAATTCAGAATAAATAAATCCATGAACTAAACCAAAAGACTAGAATAGTAATTAACATTTTTCCATAAGAAGTCTTTTTTTTTGTACTAGGAATTGAATCCATGGATGCGTAATGACTGAACCACATCCCCTCTTCCCTTTTTATTTTATTTATTTTTTAAATTTTTTAGGCAGGGTCTCACTAGGCAGTTTACAGCCTTGCTAGGTTGTAGGGGCTGGCTTTGAACCTGCGGTCCTCTGCCTCAGCCTCCTGAGTCACTGGGATCACAGGCGTGCACTAACATGCCCAGAAATAAGTATATACACAGTCTTAACTCTCCAATTAAAAGATAGACTGGCATAATATATTTAAAAACTGCTAGGAGCCACAGCAAAAGTATTATGATACATGGCACCTTTGTTTTAGGTGACTGCCAGCTAGCCATTGAGATGATATGATTATGTTAAGATTTACATTCATATGGAAATTGGACTCCTGCTGTTCACCTCGGCCTGTTACGGGACTCATGTTACGGGACTCATGTTACGGGACTCCCGGAGAGTTCCCATTGGTTGGGGAAGGATAGTAGGAGGGAATTTCCCGTGGAGGTCCGGGGGGGCCCCGGTTCCGGTGGACGGACACACGTGTGTGGACCGGCTTGCTAGTGGGGCGCACACGGATCACTGGCGGCCTTTTTAAAATAAAACTTTGTTTCTGCTCGAGCAGCTTGTGATTCTGTGCCCAGCCGGGTTGCGGCAAAAAACTAGGCCTAACTATGTGCTGTTTGCATGAGACTCATAAGCAAAGAGGCTAAAAATAAAAGGATAGAAAAGATATGTCATCAAGTAAAATACAAAACTAAGCAGAAGAGCTATTCTTATATCTGACAAAGCAAATTTTAAGCAAAATTAATAAGGTACAAGTGATGTCATTACATATTGTTCAAGGGACTAATCAAACAAGAAGCTGAAATAATAGTAAATATCGATGCCCTAAATATTGGTACAAAGAAATACAGGCTAAGGGCATATAATTCCATAAATCAAACACTTTCTGATCCCAGATAGATCTCAATACAATAATGCTGGGTGAGTTCCATCACTCTTCTCAATAAGAGAGAGGTCATCCAGACAAAATTAATGAAGACACTTGTAACCTAATTACACTATAAATCAAATGGACCCAATAGACATTTACAGGTGATTTCACCCAACAACATATACTTTCTTCTCAGCAGCTCAAGATACCACTTCCAATGAGGACCACATTTCAGGACACAAAGCAATTCTTGGCAAATATGAAAATATCAATATTATTCCATACATCTTATCAGTTCAAACTGAGTTGAAATTAGAAACCAGCAGCAAAGCCTTAGAGAAACCACAAACAAAACAAAACAAAACCCGGGGAGATTGAACAACACTGTTTGTTAAATGAGGTATGGATCCTAGAAGAAATTGGATGGGAAATTCAAAAATTCCTAGAATTAAACAGGAACAGTGATACAACATACCCCACTCTCTGGAACACTGAGGGCACCTTGTGCCATTGGAACCTTCCAGCCCAAAAGAACATGAGGGCTATTGTTTCTCCAGCATCTGACAGAAATCAGATGAACCCTGGGGTGGTCCACACCAATGTCAGCCCCTTTGCCAAGGGAAAGTTGATACATGAAGTGCCCACATTAAAATACGGAAAGATACCAGACGGATAATTTAATGCTATGTCTCTTGGCCCTAGGAAATCAGGAACTCAATACTTCCAAAACCAGTAAAGAGAGAAAATAATTAATATCAGAGCCAACACTAGTGAAATAGAGGACAAATGAAGCAGAGTTTGTTCTTTGGAAAAATGAACAAGATTGATAAACTTCTAACCAAAAATGACCCAAAGAATAAGAGATTAGAGCCAAGTCAACAAAGTGAGAGAGGAAAGAGGAGACATTGCCATAGACAGTTCTGGAATCCAGAGGATCATGAGGGACTATTTGAAAACTTACATTCTGATGAATTGGAAAATATAGAAGATATTGACTAATTTCTAGATATATATATATCACTAGCCAAATTGAACAAAGAGGAAGTAAGAGTCTAAATAGATCGATATCAGGCAATAAGATTGAAGCGGTGAGAAAAAGTCTTTCAACAAAGAAAGTCCAGGACCCGGTGGACGCTCATGTGAGTTCCACCAGACCCTTAAAGAAGAATTGGTGCCATCCTCCTCAAGTTATTCCATGAAATGGAAAGGGAGGGGGCACTCAAACCCATTCTATGAAGCTAGTATCACCTTGATACCAAAACCAGATAAAGACCCAGCAAGGAAAGAAAACGACCTACCAATATTCCTGATGAACATTGATGCAAAGATCCTTAATAGAATATTAGCAAAACACATTAAGAAGACAGTACACCATGATCAAGTTGGATTCATCACAGGGAGGCAAATATGATTCAATATATGTAAATCAATAAATTGATTCATTGCATAAGTATAATCAAGGAAAAATCACAATTATATCAATAGATGCAGAAAAAGCATTTGAGAAAATTCAGCACCCATTCATGTTAAAACACCGAAGAAACTAGAGACAGAAGAAACCTACCTCCAGGTCACCAAGACAACATATGTTAAGCCCAAAGCTAATGCCATACCAAATGGAGAAAAGCTAAAATTCAGGAAAAAGACAAGGAAGTCCATTCTCAACACTCTTATTCATTTTTTTTTTCAAATCTAGCCAAAGCAATTAGGCAAAAGAATTAAATAAAGGGATTCAACAGGAAAAGAAGTCAAATTATCTCTGTTTACTGATGACAGGAGCCTATACCAATGAGACCCCAAAACTCTCCACTGGAAGACCCCTAGAGTAGATGAACAAATTCAGCAATGTAAGGATACTGGCCTTGGAAATAAGGGGCCAGTCTCCATTCCTCCAGGGTTGAAAATCAAGCGTTTGAGAAATGCCGAGGCAGGCGTAGGAAACAAGTTTTATTTAAGGGATAGGCTTATTTAAGGGATAGGCCTCTCCGGGAGAAGGGGACCAGAACTGGTATTTGTGGGAGTAGGATATCTGGTTCCTTTATGGGTCTCAGGTTTCCTTCTCTCTCACCCCCTTCCTCTGTCTTGCCTAGGTGACCAAAAGGACGATTCCCTGGAAGTGTAGGTGAACTTGGTAACGGGGAGAGGAGTGGGGCGTGCTCCTTTTAGTTGAATGGTCCCCCATCTTCCTGACCTGACCTCTTATCACCTGTGCTGACTGCCCGCCCTGGGTCACTATCTCAGTCGCAGGATACAGGATCAACATACAAAAATCAATAACTGTTTTAGCACTCCAAGAATGAATTATGCTGAGAAAGAAATCAAGATAGCCTCAAAAAAGATTTAAAAAATAATCCTGAGGAATAAGACTAACTAAAGAGTTGAAAGCATTTCTGCAATGAAAATTATAAAACACGGAATAACGAAACTGAAGACCTTAGAAGGTGGAAAGACGGACCGTGTCCATGGATAGACTGGGACCCAGGCAAGTGCACACGACTCCACATTCCTCTCTCAGAGGAATCACAGGTCTTTCCCTGGGTCACTACAAAGTCAGTGCCTTGAAGTCCAGCTACTCTGACGTGAGCAATAAAATGAGTATCCTGGGGGTCCAGTGTTGGGTTCAGAATCCTTCTCAGTCGGAATCAGACTCACACCCCCAGAAGGTGGGCCTGGCAGAGGCAGAGAAGAGAAGGTCCTGTTCAATACAGAGAGATGAAGGACAGATGCACTAGGAGGGTTGATGGAGAGACGTCTCTCTCTGCCCCAGGATGTCTGCTAACAGCCTGGACCTGAGCTTCCTCCTTGCAGAGATATCTGGTCTGGCCCATGGGTTGCACCCCCGCCCCACCCACACGCCCTCATCAGCGGCTCCTTCCCGAATTGCTCCACCTCCCCTGTGGACTCCTGCCTTTGAGGTCATGGGTCATGCACCCTGGTCTCTCGTGGCCCTGTTTACTGACCCGATGCTCTTTAGACCGTGGATGGAGGGCCTCGGTTGACTGTGAAGCCAGCCACTCCGCACGATGCAGCCCTCAGCTCCTCACCTGCCAAACAGCACTCTGATTCCCCACGTGGACCCGGGTCTCTCCTGAGAGGACACCAGTGCCCTCGCCCGCAGGCGGCTGTCCCCCGCCAGGCAGTAACAGCAACGCACTCTTGCTGGGTGTCCTAGGATCATAAAGCAGAACCCAAGGGGCGTCTCCCACGTGTGACTCTGACTCAGCCAATCGCCTTCCAGACATGGCTGAGCCCCACCCCCAGCAGCACAGGGGACTGACAAGGTCTCCCTCTGCTCAGCTGGAGGCGGGAGGAGAATGGAGGAGAAGGGGTCAGGGAGGATGTCGGGCACAAAGGGAAGGTGACTTTACTCTGGAAAGTCTGACCTGGCTCTTGGGGGTAACGCTCCCCAGCAGTGATCTCTCATTGCCCATGCTGGGTCACCCCTGTACACTGTGACATCCAGGCACCGGGGGCCCCCTCCTTATTCCGAGTGGGGTCACGGCCTCCTGTTACCAGGCAGCTGGAGATGAAGACTCCTCACAGCCCTCAACAAATCAGAGGCATTTCCAAGTCAAACAGAAGGGACCACATTCCTGAGTATGACCCTCTGCTCCCATGAGCAGGTGAGCACGGACCTTACGCAGGGCTGGCTGGAAGCAGCTCTCCCTCACAGCAGGCTCGGGCTCCACCCTGAGGTGTGTCACAGGCCTT